GCTCGACAGTTATGAAATATCTGTTTTCCTTTATTCTACGATATTTCCCTATTATTTTTCACGAACTGAAAGTTCACAAAATCTTTAGTATCGCCTCGAAACTCGTGATAATTCTTAGACATTTTACGCTTTTCTTTATTTTAGGATCGTTCTATGTTAGAAATTGTATTAATTTCAAATTCAATCTTCAATTACAGAGCTTTTAGTAGGTATTGATCTCTAACTGCTACTAATACTACAATTTATATGGTCTCCTTTAAACGTTGAATCGTTGTATGTTGTAAGCAGAGTATCGTTGTAAAGGTAGGATCGATCGAGTTGGAATGTCGCGGGCGTGTTCTGTAACAGCGTTTACAGCGACGTAAACGAAGCGTAACGTTCGGATATTTGGCGTTTGACGAAAATCCGTAACAAAATTGGAACGTCGGCCAAACAAACTGAAAATGGATTTACATGCTTCGCAAATAAAACACTGATTGACCGGTCGTTCAGACACGGATTGATCAGCGTTATTTAATTAACGGTGTTCGAATCGTGGGAATGGGACTTAACGCGACCTCCAACTCTACGGCTGACGCCAGGACCGTCGAATAAAATCGATTTCGACGGTAGAAGGCTCTACCGTTTCGTTTAAAAAACATCCTCTATCTACCTTTGCTTCAAACTATAAATTAATCACTTTAAGCGTTAATAAAATTATTATTTACTATCTTACTGTCCATAGACAAGTAATTTATACTTGCTGGCTGTATTAAAATACAAAGTAATAATAGGACAATAAGAAGATAGTAACAATTATGTAAAATCGAAGCTCAAATACCTATTGATTGCCATATTTCTTCAACAGAATCTATAACCCTACAGATAGACATGTAATTTGTATTTAGAATAGTTATAGAAGATATTGCACCATATTTTCCAATGAAGCGCTTTTCATCAAATTCTTTATTTGATTTTCATAGTATCACATTTCTGTAGTCATATGAAAGTAAATATAACTAGTATGAAATTTCACATACTTGGACCTAATTAATTCGAATAATTGGACCTAATTATATAAATGCTTCCATAAATGAAATTACGCGTCAATACTTCCTCTAATCGTGACATAGTGTCTCCGCTATGAAATGAAAATAGTAACAGTAATATAAAATGGAAACCTATAAATTTGATCATTGCCACATTTCTCCGGTACACTTTCGAACTTTCAACCAACTCTCACTTTGTCAATAAAGTCTGTCACAGACAATGGAAAAAGTCAATAGATGGAATATATTGGAGCCACCCTCGCATTTGGTTCGAGCCACCTCGCGAACAGGAAACAGTCACGACACGATGTAAAAAATGGACCAGTAGAGGCACATGAGCGAACAACGGAGAATACAAGAAGCATTGTAGAAGAAGTTTCAGTTACAGCGTAATTGTCACAGGAAACGATAGTGACAACGGAAAAACGCGGAGGGAAATCGTGTTATCGTTGAAACGTGTTAGAAGGAGAAAGGACGAAGGTGAAGATGCAATCGGAGCGAGTGAGGAAGAGAAAGAGCGAGGGAGAAAGAAGACCACGCGGCTCCCTCCTGAGATGACATCTCCCCGTGACCTTGGAACGGAGACTGACCTTGACCGTGTCAACCCCCACCAGGCC